TAATTAAGACAAAACTGTATAGGTTTAAGGATGAAGAAATACATTAATAAAAAGAATGAGGTATCTGGAAATAGACATTTGATTTTCCACAAAGATGCCAATATAATTCACTGGGGAAATGAAATCTTTTGAACAAATTGTGATGGAATAACATGGCATTTATATGGAAAGAATGAATCTTGATCACTAACTCATATCTACACAAAATTAGTTAATTAACGAGATAATCATAAACCTAAATGCAAAAGCTAAAATCATAAATCTTCCACAACAAAATTTATGAGAATATCTTCATGAATTTGGGTCTAGCAATGATTCATTAAGACAGAAAGTATTACCATAAAAGGGGAGAAAATGGATAAATTGACTTCATTAAAATTAAATACTTCTGCTTATGTGAAAGACACTATTAAAAATAGTAAGGTGGGGCACCTGGGTGGCTCAGTTGGTTGGGCGTCCGACTTCAGCTCAGGTCATGTTCTCACGGTTAGTGGTTCTAGCCCCGTGTGGGGCTCTGTGCTGACAGCTCAGAGCCTGCAGCCTGCTTCTGATTCTGTGTCTCCCTCTCTCTGGCCCTCCCCCACTCACACTCTGTCTCACTCTCTCTCTCAAAACTAAATAAACGTTAGAAAAAAAAATAGGCAAGAGGTGCCTGGGTGGCTCAATTGGTTAAGCGTCCAATTCTTCATTTTGGCTCAGGTCATGATCTCACAGTTTGTGAGTTCAGCCCCGCATTGGGCTCTGCACTCGCTGCACAGAGCCTGCTTCAGATTCTCTATCTCCCCCTTTCTGCCCCTCCCCTGCTCGCTCGCTCTCTCTCTCTCTCTCTCTCTCTCTCTCTCTCAAAAAAAAAAAAATATATATATATAGTAAGGAAAGATCCAGAGGGGAGAAAATGTTACACATATTCACATTCAAAATCTATAAAGAATTTGTATAGATTAATAGAAAAATCAGTTTCAGATGTCACAGCAATGCCAAATTTTAATAAGTTTTTTAAGTGTTTGCTCATTTTCATACTAAAGTTATATAACGGCAAGAAGCTTTTGCATACTACCACAGATCTAAAGACCACACTGAGTATTACTGCCTTAGTGGATATCAGCTCACAGTATGAACTTCACTTAATTTTTCAAATGTCAAGAGTACTGAATTAAAATCTATACCTATACAGTAATTCTCATTCAGTTGATTGAAATTTCAGAAAGCAGTTCTGTAATTTCATACAATATTTATTTTCTGGGAAGCTGGGAATTAGGATCCTTTTATTATTTTTTAATTTTTTTTTTTAGAGAGAGTGTGTGTGAGCATATGAGTGAGCAAGCAGGGCAGAGGCAGAGAGAGATGAGGAGAGAGAGAGAGAGAGAGAGAGAGAGAGAGAGAGAGAATCCAAGTAGGCTCTACACTGTCAGCATCGAGCTCAACATGGGGCTTGAACCCACAAACGTGAGATCATGACCTGAGCCGAAAACAAGAGTTGAATGCTTAACCCATCGAACCGCCCAGGCGCCTCAGGATCCTTTTAAAAAGAATCTTAAAAAAAAAAAAAATGAATAAACGAAAAGCAAAATCAGACCTATAAATACAGAGAACAAACTGATGGTTGCCAGAGGAGGGAGGGATAGGAAAAATGGGTGAAGGGGAATGGGACATACAGGCTTCCATTTAAGGAGTAAATTGGTCATGTGAATAAAGGCACAATATAAGGAGTATAGTGAATTGTAGTGTAATAGCATTTTATGGTGACAGATAGTATCTGCACTTGTAAGCATAGCATAACGTATAAACTTGTCAAATCACTATGCTGTAGACCTGAAACCAATGTAACATTGCGTGTCAACCATATTCGTATTTTTTAAATAATAAAAAGTATTTATTATCTGTTTGTATGGGTAAACCATAATAGCTGCTCTGGGAAATTTAAGACTATAACAAGGGCCTCTTTACAATAATTAACTTTGTTGTTTGTCTTTGACATACTTCAGTTACCTTTTTCTTTGTTCAGCTCACCTGTTACTTGTTCTGTTGTACTTAGCAATCCTTGTTTTCTCACTTAGGGTACATCACTGAAGGGTTCCTGGCTATGCAACATGCCGTGGATATTGCCATCATGAAATACTATAATCACAAGGCTACACAAAAGCTATTCCGAGAAGTCACTGTATTTGTTCAGAGATTTCCATATCCAGCATATTCTCATGATTACTTCTATACCTTTTTTGGTATTTTCATCCCTTTAGTAATCTTATTTATCTTCTCTATGAATCATCTTACCCTCATTCAGGCTATTGTGTGGGAAAAGGAAAACCGACTGAAGGTAACTTTCCTTTTCTTGTGGTAGATAGAATTTCTGTAGAAAAAGTTGGGTTTGTAGCATAAATTTTTGTGGAGGGTTGGATTATTTCTGACCACTCAGCACTGGTGGATGGTTATGTTTTGGTAGCAGCCAAAAGTGAACACTTCTCTTCGCAGTTTTCTAGAATTTTTTTTTATTGGAATTATTGGATTGGTCTTTAGTTTTAGTTTCAGAAGATAATTACAGATAGAATTTAAATGCCAAATGCTCTAAATCTCTCTGGAATAAGGTGAGTTACAAAGAAATTATCAACTGTGCTGTGGAATTGTCTTGATGAATTTGGATACAATTAAATGTCAAGATTCTATGATTGTGTGATTAGTTTTTCCATTTTCTGATATCTGAATTTTTTTTTCTAAATGACCTCTCATATTTCCCTTCAGAATTTCTGTTTCTTGGTCAGAGAGCATGTTGTGTTATGGCCACATGCTTTGCAGTTCAAACTCCAGTCATTTAGCCAATAATGTGTATGATATATATAATGTAAATATATAAAATACATAATATAAAATAATTTTATATAATATATAAGTGTATAATATAAATATAGAGGGTGAGATGACTTATATAACTTATATGTATACACACACACACACACACACACACATACACATATACATACACATATGGTTGATTTATTGCCTAATTTGTTTCAGGAGCTGATAAATCATAGATTTAAATCCTATCTCTGTTGTTTATTAACTGTGACATGTCATAACTTTTCTAGCCTTTTTTCTCAGATATAAATTGATTAAAACTAATTTACAGGACTGTCATGATATTCAACTAGATATTGTGTGAAAGATTATCACTATCTAGTCACCTGGACCAGCTGTTGTGAGGCATAAAGGAGGAAATGCATGTTGAGTGTTTGATAGATTGCCAGGCGCATAGTTGAATACTCAGTAGCTGTTAGATGTGACTGTTCACATCAGCCATCTCCATGTCACTTATCTCCTTATGTAATCTTGAATCATATCATTTTCTCTCTTTCCTTTCTTAGTGGCCACAACACTTCATGTATCAGGCTCATGTTGTTTCTCCCCATCCAGCTCTTCTCACTCAGGGCTCTTGTCATACATCTCCTTATCCATCCATCAAACGAATGGCTTTTTTGAAACTTCCTTTATGTTTATGTTTCCTCTGTCTGTAATGCTTTCCTCTTTCTTTTCTGGTTGGTGTACACACAGTTAACTTACTTGTCCCAAATGTTGTGCTGCTATCTCCTTGTTGATGGTCTCTTTTTAATTCTCAATGATAATTTAAAGTTTTTTCTTTGAGTCCCCAAACATGGTACATAAATGTCAACATTGTGACTTATTTATATTTCATTTTTTAAAAATTTTCATTGAAGTATAACATACAAACAAAAAAATACACAAGTCCTAAGCGTATGTGTTTTAATCCCTTCAGGCTAGTATAACAAAAATATGAAACAGTATACCTTATAAGCAATAGAAATTTACTTCTCTCATTTCTGGAGCCGGGAAAGTCCAAGATCAATGTGCCAGCAGATTCAGAATGTCTGATGAGAACCCACTCTGTGTTTCTGGTTCATAGATGGCACCTCATCACTGTCTCCTCCTGTGACAGAAGGAATGCAAGCTCTCCAGGGTCTGCTTTATAATGGCACTATTCTGATGCATGAGGGCTCATCCCTCATCACCTAATCATCTCTCAATACCCCACCTCAAAGTGCCCTTAGAGTGGGGACTGGGTTTTGGGGTTTTTTTTAATACAAAATTTATTGTCAAACTGGTTTCTTTTTTTGTTTATTTTGAAAAAAATTGGTAAGTGTGTTTATTTTTTTAATATGAAATTTATTGTCAAATTGGTTTCTTTTTTCTTTATTTTGAAAAAAATTAGTAGGTGTGTTTATTTTTTTAATACGAAATTTATTGTCAAATTGGTTTCCATACAACACCCAGTGCTCATCCCAACAGGTGCCCTCCTCAATGCCCATCACCCACTTTCCCCTCCCTCCCACCCCCCATCAACCCTCAGTTTATTCTCAGTTTTTAAGAGTCTCTTATGGTTTGCCTCCTTCCCTCTCTCTAACATTTTTTCCCCTTTCCCTCCTCCATAGTCCTCTGTTAAGTTTCTCAGGATCCACATTAAAGTGAAAATATAAGGTATCTGTCTTTCTCTGTATGACTTATTTCACTTAACATAACACTCTCCAGTTCCATCCATGTTGCTACAATAGGTCAGATTTCATTCTTTCTCACTGTCACGTATATTCCATTGTCTATATAAACCATAATTTCTTAATTCCATTTATCAGTTGAGGGACATTTAGGCTCATTCCATAATTTGGCTATTTTTGAAAGTGCTGCTATAAACCCTGGGGTACAAGTGCCCTTATGCATCAGCACTCCTGTATCCCTTGGGTAAATTCCTAGGAGTGCTGTTGCTGGGTCATACGGTAGATCTATTTTTAATGTTTTGAGGAACCTTCACACTGTTTTCCAGAGTGGCTGCACCAGTTTGCATTCCCACCAACAGTGAAAGAGGGTTCCCGTTTCTCCACATCCTCGCCAGCATCTCTAGTCTGATTTGTTCATTTTGGCCACTCTGACAGGCGTGAGATGGTATCTGAGTGTGGTTTTGATTTGTATTTCCCTGATGAGTGACGTTGAGCATCTTTTCATGTGCCTCTTGGCCATCTGGATGTCTTCTTTAGAGAAGTATCTATTCATATCTTCTGCCCATTTCTTCACTAGGTTACTTGTTTTTGGGGTGTGCAGTTTGGTGATTTCTTTATAGATTTTGGATACTAGCCCTTTGTCTGATATGTCATTTGCAAATATCTTTTCCCATTACATTGGTTGCCTTTTAGTTTTGTTGATTGTTTCCTTTTCAATGCAGAAGATTTTCATCTTCATGAGGTCCCAATAGTTCATTTTTGCTTTTAATTCCCTTGCCTTTGGAGACGTAGCATTTGACAAAATTCAGCCTCCTTTCTTTCAACGTTTATTTATTTTTGGGACAGAGAGAGACAGAGCATGAACGGGGGAGGGGCAGAGAGAGAGGGAGACACAGAATCGGAAACAGGCTCCAGGCTCTGAGCCATCAGCCCAGAGCCCGACGCGGGGCTCGAACCCACGGACTGTGAGATGGTGACCTGGCTGAAGTCGGACGCTTAACCGACTGCGCCACCCAGGCGCCCCTCAGCATCCTTTCTTAATAAAAACTTTGAGAAAGTCGTAGGAGGAACATACTTAAACATCATAATAGCTATTTATGAAAAGCCCACAGCTAATAATCATCCTCAATGGGGAATAACTGAGAGCTTTCCCCCGAGATCAGAAACAAGACAGGGATGTCCACTCTTACCACGTTGTTTAACATAGTATTGGAAGTTCTAGCATCAGCAATCAGACAACAAAAGGAAATCAAGGCATCAAAATTGGCAAAGATGAAGTCAAGCTTTCACTTTTTCCAGATGACATGATATTATACATGGAAAACCCAATAGACTCCACCGGAAGTCTACTAGAACTGATACATGAATTCAGCAAAGTTGCAAGGTACAAAATTAATGTACAGAAATCAGTTGCATTCTTATACGCTAATAATGAAGCAACAGGAAGACAAATAAAGAAACTGATCCCATTCACAATTGCACCAAGAAGCATAAAATACCTAGGAATAAACCTAACGAAAGATGTAAAAGATCTGTATGCTGAAAACTATAGAAAGCTTAGGAAGGAAATTGAAGAAGATACAAAGAAATGAAAAAAACATTCCATGCTCATGGATTGGAATAATAAATACTGTGAAAATGTCAATGGTACCCAAAGCAATTAACACATTCAATGCAATCCCAATCAAAATTGCGCCAACATTCTTCTCGAAGCTAGAACAAGCAATCCTAAAATTTGTATGGAATCACAAAAGACCCGAATAGCCAAAGTATTTTTTTTAATATATGAAATTTATTGTCAAATTGGTTTCCATGCCACACCCAGTGCTGATCTCAAAAGATACCCTCTTCACTGCCCATCAGCTACCCTTCCTTCCCTCCCACTCCCCCATCAACCCTCAGTCCTCACTTTTTAAGAGTCTCATGCTTTGGCTCTCTCCCACGCTAACCTTATTTTTTTTTTCCTTCCCCTCCCCCACGGGTATCTGTTAAGGCTCTCAGGATCCACATGAGAGTGAAAACATATGGTATCTGTCTTTCTCTGTATGGCTTCTTTCACTTAGCATCACACTCTCCAGTTCCATCCACGTTGCTACAAAGGGCCAGATTTCATTCTTTCTCATTGCGACATAGTACTCCATTCTGTATATAAACCACAATTTCTTTATCCATTCATCAGTTGATGGACATTTAGGCTTTTTCCACAATTTGGCTATTGTTGAGAGTCCTTCTATAAACATTGGGGTACAAGTGCCCCTATGCATCAGTACTCCTGTGTCCCTTGGGTAAAATCCTACCAGTGCTATTGCTGGGTCATAGGGTAGGTCTATTTTTAATTTTCTGAGGAAACTCCACACTGCTTTCCAGAGTGGCTGCACCAATTTGCATTCCCACCAACAGTGCAAAAGGGTTCCTGTTTCTCCACATCCTCTCCAGCATCTATAGTCTCCTGGTTTGTTCATTTTGGCCACTCTGACTGGCGTGAGGTGATATCTGACTGTGGTTTTGATTTGTATTTCCCTGATGAGGAGCGACGTTGAGCATCTTTTCATGTGCCTGTTGGCCATCTGGAGGTCTTCTTTAGAGAAGTGTCTATTCATGTTTTCTGCCCATTTCTTCACTGGGTTATTTGGTTTTGGGGTGTGGAGTTTGGTGAGCTCTTTATAGATTTTGCATACTAGCCCTTTGTCCGATATGTCATTTGCAAATATCTTTTCCCATTCCGTTGGTTGCCTTTTAGTTTTGTTGGTTGTTTCTTTGCTGTGCAGAAGCTTTTTATCTTCATAAGGTCCCAATAGTTCATTTTTGCTTTTAATTCCCTTGCTTTGGGGATGTGTCGAGTAAGAGATTGCTATGGCTGAGGTCAGAGAGGTCTTTTCCTGCTTTCTCCTCTAGGGTTTTGATGGTTTCCTGTCTCACATTCAGGTCCTTTATCCATTTTGAGTTTATTTTTGTGAATGGTGTGAGAAAGTGGTCTAGTTTCATTCTTCTGCATGTTGCTGTCCAGTTCTCCCAGCACCATTTGTTAAAGAGACTGTCTTTTTTTTCCATTGGATATTCTTTCCTGTTTTGTCAAAGATGAGTTGGCCATATGTTTGTGGGTCTAGTTCTGGGGTTTCTATTCTATTCCATTGGTCTATGTGTCTGTTTTTATGCCAATA